ATGAAGGACTTTTTTCTTGTCACTTGCCCACCCTAAGGGATGTTCTGAAAACATTGTGGTCGTCCAGCCGGGAGGCGTGGACATTGTCGACCACATGCCCACCCCTTAGAGTGTACCGAAAACAAGCGACCTTCGCCCACCCCTTGATCGGGATGTTCCATAAGCGAAGGACTTTTTTCTTGTCACTTGCCCACCCTAAGGGATGTTCTGAAAACATTGTGGTCGTCCAGCCCGGAGGCGTGGACGTTGTCGACCACATGCCAACCCCTTAGAGTATACTGAAAACAAGTGACCTCCGCCCATCCCTTGATCGGGATGTTTCATAAACGAAGGACTTTTTTCTTGTCACTTGCCCACCCTAAGGGATGTTCCGAAAACATTGTGGTCGTCCAGCCCAGAGGCGTGGACGTTGTTGACCACATGCCCTCCCTTTAAAGTGTACCGAAAACAAGCGACCTTCGCCCACCCCTTGATCGGGATGTTCCATAAGCGAAGGACTTTTTTCGTGTCACTTACCCACCCTAAGGGATGTTCCGAAAACATTGTGGTCGTCCAGCCCGGAGGCGTGGACGTTGTCGACCACATGCCCACCCCTTAGAGTGTACCGAAAACAAGCGACCTCCGCCCACCCCTTGATCGGGATGTTTTATAAACGAAAGACTTTTTTCTTCTTCGAGGAGGAGGATCGCGTGAGTGATCGGCGTTCCTCGTGAGCGTCATCTTGTGAACATGTAAAGTATGTAAAATGTCGTTAAATGGTCCAAATAAACTCGTATGTAATCATGATTGTAACAAATTAATAACATTGGCAGGGAGGAACATTTCGATATAAAAATCGACCATTTTGATAATTTCACGAACGAGGATTACATCGATTCAACTGCTCGAATATGGGAAGAAAAATTTTACACATAATATTTTTTAAGATTGGCTACATTCCACGACCTGGCCAGTGATCTGCCTTCAGCGTCCTTCAGCGAGTATTCTCCTCCCGCATGAACCTTTTCGACCAAGTACGGCCCTTCCCAATTAGGTTCTAATTTGCCCACATGCTTGAGCACATCTACTCTCTTCCATACCAGATCTCCCACCTGGAATCGGCGGATCTTCACTTTCCTGTCATGTGCTGCTCTCATCCGTTGTTTGTATGCCTCAACCCTGGTCGAGGCTTGCTCTCTAAGTTCTTCAATTGTGTCCAGGGCAGTTAGCATTTTTGCTCCTGGTTATAGGTGCTCGATCGTTGGGATTGTAGTTCCAGCTCAACTGGCAAAAGTGCCTCCATCCCATATACCAAGCTAAAAGGCGTCTCGCCCGTGGTCGACCTAGGAGTGGTCCTATATGCCCAGAGCACGGATGTTAACTCATCCACCCACGCCCCCGAAGCTTTCTCAAGTCTTTTTTTTAGTCCGTTTAGGATGATCCTGTTGGTCACCTCTACCTGTCCGTTGGCCTGTGGGTGGGCGACAGAAGCAAAGTGTTGCTCGATGCCCATCTCCTCGCACCATGCCCTTACCCATCTGCCGTTGAATTGAGTTCCGTTATCGATATCAGGACTTTAGGGACCCCGAATCGACAACAAATGTTATTGTACAAGAATCGGATCACTTTCTCTTCTGTAATTTTGGCCAACGGTTCAGCTTCTACCCACTTTGTAAAATAATCGACCGCCACGATCAAGAATTTCCGCTGCCCTGTTGCCTGCGGCATTGGTCCCACTAAATCGATTCCTCACTTTGCGAACGGAATTGGTGCGCTCATCGTGGTCATTGTCTCCGCGGGTTGGTGTATGAGCGGGCCATGCTTTTGGCATTGCACGCATCTCCTGGCCATTTCTTTAGCGTCCGCCTTCATTGTCGACCAGAAGTAACCTGCTCTCAAGATCTTTGCGACCATGGCTCCGGCTTTGCTATGATCGCCACAACACCCCTCATGCACTTCTCGTAAAACATATCGACCTTCTTCTTTGGATACACACCTCAAATGTGGGCCTGCATATGATCGTTTGTAGAGGACCCCATCCTGCTCGAAAAATCTCCTCACCACCTTTATTGTCCCTTCTCGCAACTCTTTCTGGATTGAGGCCCTCCAATCCTCCACCTCTTCAATCTCTGCTACCTCGGCTTCAGCCGCACTTTTCTCCATATGGAGCAGGGTCACACTTCTACTCTTGCAATCTACCAAATTCTGAGCGATTTTAGACAACAAGTCAGCTTGACCATTCTCCCCTCGAGGTATCTGTATTAATTCAAATGACCCAAATTCTTCCTTCAACTTCCTCATATTGTCCACATGACGCTGCAGCCGATCCTCTTTGATCTCGAAACCTTCTTGGAATTGACCAACCACTAACTGGGAATCGAAATGGACCTGGATTTTCCGAGCACCCCCGGCTAGAGCCATTTGTAACCCCTTTATGACCGCTTCGTACTCTGCCTCGTTGTTTGATACTCATAATCCTACCTTGACGGCAAATTCTAAGTAATCCCCTTTGATCAAAACCAAGACTATTCCCAAGCCGGCCCCGCTCCTCGACACTGAGCCGTCCGCGAACAACTGCCACACTCCTTCCGTGTCTCCTTCCTCCTTCGTACCTTCCCGTATGAAATCGGCCAAAACTTGTGCTTTGATCGCCCTCCTTGGCTCATATACTATAGAGTACTCGCTCAGCTCGACCGCCCATTTCACTAGTCGACCGGACACCGCTGGTCTACCTAAAGTCTGCTCCAATGGCATGTTTGTGCGCACCCTGACCTTATGGTTTAGAAAATACGGTCTTAGCTTTCGGACCGTCACGACCACCGCCAATGCACATTTCTCAATTTCTGAAAACCTCAACTCTGCTCCCTGCATTACCCGACTCACATAGTATATTGGGAATTGTGCCACTCCTTCCTCTCGCAACAGTACCGAGCTTACCGCACTCTTGCCCACCGATACGTAGAGAACAAGTTCTTCCCCCCGTGTTGGCTTAGCCAACAAGGGCAAGTTTGCCAGCACCCCCCGCAACTCTTCGAAGGCCTTCTGGGCTTCCTTCGTCCACTGGAACTTCGAGCTCTTCTTCAGTGTTTTGAACAGAGGGCCACTCTTCTCGGCCACTTTGGAAATGAACCTGCTCAGCCCTGCTATTCGGCCAGTCAGTATTTGGACCTCCTTCATACTGGCCGGTGGCTTCATCTCGATCACAGCTCTCACCTTCTCAGGATTCACCTCTATTCCCCGCTTTGTCACCATGTATCCTAAGAACTTCCCTGCCTTTACGCCAAACGAGCACTGAGCCGGATTAAGCTTCATGCCAAATCTCCTCAGCGTTTGAAAGGTCTCTCTCAGGTCGCCCACGTGGTCCGCCTCCATTTTGCTCTTTACCAGCATGTCATCGACATATACCTGCATATTTCTTCCCAACTGGTCTTTGAAAATCTGGTCGACCAACCTCTGATAAGTGGCCCCGGCATTCTTCAGTCCAAATGGCATGACCACATAACAATAGGTGCCTTTTCTTGTTATGAAGCTCACCCTCTTCCAATCTTCCTTTGCCAAGGGGATTTGATGGTACCCTTGTGAGGCATCCATCAAGCTGAGCAATTCTCATCCCGCCGTGGAGTCTACCAATTGGTTGATCCTCGGCAGCGGGTATAAATCCTTTGGGCAGGCCTTATTTAGATCACAGAAATCGATGCACATCCTATACTTCCCTCCTGATTTGGATACCATCACCATGTTAGATAACCATTCATAGAACTCAATCTTCTTGATGTGCCCAGCGTTCAACAACTTTTCGACCTCCTGCTCGATAAGTTTGTCCATTTCCACGCCATGATGTCTCTTCTTCTGTTTTACCGGCCTTACGTTGAGATCAATATTGAGTCTGTGCTCGATCACCCTGGCTTCGATCCCCGTTAGCTCATCCGCTGTATACGCTAAGATGTCTGTAAACTCCCTTGTTAGACTGATCAGCTTCGACCTGATTGGCTCTCCCAAATCTTTTCCAATCCTGAACTTGCGATCATCACATCCCTGCACCATCTGAACTTCCTCGACCTCGCCCCCGGGTTGTATGTCTATCTTCTCCTTTCCTTTATCCTGCCATCCCCTTTCCTCCTTCGCTCTCGACCCTCCTGGTCGATCGGGCCTCTCTTCCTTGCCTTTCAATTGCTTTTCTGCCATATGTTTGTAATTGCTGACTGTAGTTTGATAGCAACTCCTCGACGTGAGCTGGTCCCCAGCAATCTCGCCCACATTTTCCCCCACTGGATATTTGATCATCATGTGGTATGTAGACACGACCGCTTGGAACGCGTTTAAACCTGTCCATCCTAAAATGATATTATAAGACGATTATGCCCCAACCACTACGAACCGGACCATCCTTATTTTCATCGTATCGCCCGACCCCAACGCTACAGTCAGGCTCACTTCGCCCATTGGCATCACCTCCCCTCCATTAAAACCATATAAGGCTGTCGCCACCGGTTTCAGCTCAAGATTCAGATGTTTGTTGATCTGCGCGAAGCAATCATAGAACATCACATCGACCAAACTCCCAGTGTCGATGAACACCCTTTTTACGTCGAAACCTGCCACTTCGGCCGTGATGACCAGTGCGTCATTGTGGGGTAGCAAGATTCCCTCTGCGTCTTCTGCTAGAAAGCTGATCACTGGCATTCGACCAGTTATCCCGACCTCTTCCCTTTTGCGTTTCACAGCTCACACATGCCCCTTTCGTGCATTGTTTGAATCTCTATCCGTGGGCCCTCCTGAGATAATATAAATTGTGCCTCTCTTCGCGGGCACCTCCCCCCTCAACTCCTCTCGATCATCGTTTTGTCGTCTCCTTCTTTCTTTTCTAGCGTCTTCTTCCCTATCGTCATCCTTGTCAATCCTTGCCACGGAATCCTCCCTGCACCTTCTCCTTTCTTTACCCCGCGGTCGATCGCAGATGATGAATTCTTTCAAGTGCCCTGCCCGTATGAGACGCTCGATCTCATCTTTCAAGTGCCTACAATCTTCCGTGTTATGCCCATAATCCCTATGGAATCTGCAATATTTATTCGACCTAGGTTTGGTCAGTTCCTCGAACCTCATCGCCGGCCACGTGACCTCCTTGCTTTCCAACTTCTCTTCAATGGCCGCCAAGACTTTGCCCATCTGGGCGTTGATAGGAGTGAAATGGTTATATCTTTGACCGTTTGGTAACCGGGGTCGTCCTTGCCAGCGATCTTCTCGTCCCTCTCGAAATGAATTTCGCCCATCCCTTCTGGGCGACAGCTTCTTAAAAGATCCACCTTTTGGGGAATTTTTCCTAGGTGATCCCCTCCTGGGCGAGCTCAGCCTTCCCTTCCTTTGCTCGGGTTTCACAACCTCCTCAAGCTTGGCAAATTCCGCTTCTGTTTCTTCTAAATTAATGTACTTTTTGCATCTCTTAAGCACCTCGTCGTAAGTTCGAGCAGGCGTCTTCGCCAGCGACGTTCGACATGGTCCTAGTCGCAGACTCTTAATCAATCCTCCTGCCTTCACCTCGTCGCCCGCCGTGGGCACCTCTAAACATATCTGATTGTATCGAGCAACATATTTCCGCAGGGACTCTTTCTCGCCTTGTCGCATCGCCATCAAAGTGAGGTATGTCTTCTCCT